ACAGGATGTAGTACATGCTCTAAATCAATGGCCAGTATATGGTGATGTTTCTCCTGGGTTCACAAATCAAGGGGAGGAAATGAGAGTGGCTCCTCTATTATCCCTAGTGACACAACAGTAAAAATTTTTTTAAAAATGTTTTTGTTATTGTGCATTAGGTGAAATTTTACAGAGATAATTAGTTGCCCATTCGACAGTTTGTACATAAAGTGCTCCATGACATTGGTTTCATTCCCCACAATGTATCAGCACTCTCCCTTTTTCTGTCCTAGGTTCCCCATTTCCTTTCGTCCTGATTTTTCTACCCCTTCCTGCCTTCTCATCTTTGTTTTTGGTCAAATGTTGCCATTTTGAGTTCGTATAATTGATTGTTCTAAGGAGCATGCTCCTCTCGGGTGTTATTGTTTATTTTGGTTAAGAGCTATGGCTGCGAACCAAACAGTCTGCAGTTTGAATCTACCAGCGTTCCCTGGAAACCCAATGAGGCAGTTCTACTCTGTCCTATAGGGTCACTATGAGTCTGAACTGACTGGACGGCAACAGGTTTGGTTTTTTGGTTTTGGTCTATAGTTTGGCTGAAATGTGGACTCCAGGAATGGTTTCAGTTCCAGTTCAGAAGGGTGTCTTAGGGCCATAGTCTCGGGGGTTCCTCCAGTCTCTGTTAGACCAGTAAGTCTGGTCTTTTTTGTGAATTAGACTTTTTGTTGTCCAACTTTTCTACAACTCTGTCCGGGACCCTCTGTTGTGATGCCAGTTAGAGCAGTCAGTAGTGGTAGCCTGGAACCATCTAGTTCTTCTGGTCTCAGTGCTATGTAGACTGTGGTTCATGTGGTCCATTAGTCCTTTGGATTAATCGCTCCCTTAAGTCTTTGGTTTTCTTCACTCTTCTTTGCTCCAGACGGTAAGAGACCAATAGTTGTATCTTAGACTGCTACTTGCAAGCTTTTAAGACCCGAGATGCTACTCACCAAAGTAGGATGGCAGAACATTGTCTTTATGAACTATGCTATGCCAATTGATGTAGATGTCTCATGAGTCTATGGTCCTTCGTCTCTGAGCCTAGGAACTTCATCCCACTAGGTGTTTGGTTATGTTTAGGAAGTTGTCCTTACTGTGGCCCCTGTGTGCTCTATTATTTATATTAATATATAAACAGCACCTACAGTTATGTATATGGAAATATCCACCACCAAACCTCTATCTGCAGGTGGGTGTGTTCCCTTACACCTTCCCACACCTCTTGGCATTCCTATCTACCTATGTATCCATTCATAAATTAGTGTTTCTTAATACTATTGTTGCAGGATTGTCTATGTTAATTACCAATGTTGCCCTTTGTTCTTGCGTCCCACTCAGGTCCTCCCATGCCTTGGTCATGTTTTACTGACTTCCCCCATATTGTGTATTGCCTTTCCCTTCATCAATATTAACACGTGTCTTCTATTTGGTAATTTTCCCTCCCTCACCCTCCCATCCCTGGTAACCATCAAAGAGCTTTTTTTTTCCTGTATGTAAACCTTTTCTTGTTTCTTTATAATAGTGGTCTTGTGCAATATTTGTCCTTTTGCGATTGACTTATTTCACTCAGCATAATGTCTTCCAAATCCATCCACATTGTGAGATGTTTCACGGATTCGTCATTATTCAGTTTCATTGCTTAGTATTCCACTGTGTGTATATACCACAGTTTACTAATCCATTCATCTATTGATGGGCACTTAGGTTGCTTCCATCTTTTTGCTATTGTGAATAATGCTGCAATGAACATGGGTGTGCATATGTCTATTTGTGTCACGGCTCTTATTTCTTTAGGGTATAGACCTAGGAGTGAGATTGCTGGGTCATATGGTATTTCTATTTCTAGCTTTTTAAGGAAGCACCATACCATTTTCCACAGTGATTGTGCCATTTTACATTCCCACCAGCAGTGTATAAGAGTTCCAGTCTCCCCACAACCTCACCAGCATTTGTTGTTTCTGTTTTTATGATCAGTGCCATTCTTGCCAGGGTGAGATGGTATCTCATTGTAGTTTTGATTTGCATCTCCCTCATGGCTGATGATCACGAGCATCTCTTCATGTGTTTGTTAGTCGCCTGAATGTCTTCATTGGTGAAGTGTCTGTTCATATCCTTTGCCCATTTTTAAATTGGATTGTTTGTCTCTTTGTTGTTGAGATGTTGAAGTTTTCTATAAATTTTAGAGATTAGATACTTGTCGGACCTGTCATAGCCAAAAAATTTTCCCCAGTCTGTAGGTTCTCTTTTTACTCTTTTGAAGAAGTCTTTTGATAAGCATAACTGTTTAATTTTTAGGAGGTCCCATTTATCTAGTTCGTCTTCTGCTGTTTGTGCATTTTTAGTATGTTTGGTATTCTATTTATGCCATATGTTAGGGTCTCTGCATTAGTAAAAATTTTGCTTCCCTCCCCTGCAACTTGGGCCTGTACTGATTTAGAAGTCTTAGTTCCCAAGAGAAGAATGCTTCCACCAGGAGATATAATAATGGCTATGTTGAAGTAGACATTGAGACTGCCACCTGGCCACTTTGAGCACCTTATGACAGGGACTCACCAGAGAAAAAGAGGCTTACTTTACTGACTGAGATGATTGATCCTCACCATTAAGAGGGAACTGAGTTGCCACTGCACAATGGAGGTAAGGGGGAGCATGCACAGAATGCAGGTGATATGCTGAGGTGCCCTGTCTTAGTTCTCTAGTGCTGCTGTAACAGAAACACCACAAGTGGGTGGGTTTAACAAATAGAAATTTATTTTCTCACAGTTTAGGAGGCTAGACATCCAAATTCAGGGTGCCAGCTCTAGGGGAAGTTTTTCTCTCTGTGTTGGCTCTGGAAAACGGTCCTTGTCTCTTTTGAGCTTCTGCTCCTGGGTGATCTTCATGTGGCTTGGTGTCTCTCTTCCCCCATCTCTGCTTCTCTCGCTTGCTTATTTAATCTTTTTCATATCTCAAAAGAGATTGACTTAAAACATACGCTACACTAATTCTGCCTCATTAACATAACAAAGAAAACCCATTCCCAAATGGGATTATAACGACAGGCATAGAGGTCAGGATTTACAACATGTATTTCTGGGGACACAGTTCAACCCATACCATGTCCCTTAGTACTCACTGTCCCCTGCAATTCAAATCAGTGGAAAACTGCAACAACCCAATACAGTCAGGACTGAAAATGGCCCAGACCCGTTAGGAATGAAGGTTTTGGGTTGCCTCACCAGGCAAGACAAGCGACAAGCTGTTGTGCTTGCTGATGGCAAAGGGAATATGAAATGGGTATTGAAGAAAGTAGTTATATATATCAGCTATGACCGTGTGAGAGTTGCAGAAATTAAGTCTGTAATAGTTATGAGTATTTCTTCCTTATTTTGATATGAATACATTTGTGTATATATTAACCTATATTTCTCTTTTTTCCTCTTGTACCCCCTACCAGCTAACATAATATTTGTTGTAGTAGTTAACTTTTTATCTCAGTTTTAAGTTACAGAGTGGCAAAGGGGGGATGTGACTCAACTAGAAAAAGAAAAAACATCACTCAAAAATGAATAACGAACTTCATATCCTCTTTTGGGGAAAAGGCTAACGTGTTTTCATGGTACCAGAAAAGCATGATTTTGGCATTGTCTTTTTCTTTTTTTTTTAAAGCTAAAACTCACTGTAGTTGATTCTTGACTCATAGCGACCCCATAGGGCAGAGAAGAACTGCCCCATAGCGTTTCCAAGGAGTGGCTGGTAGACTCAAAAACTGTCGACCCTTTGGTTAGCAGCCAGCTCTTAACTACCGCACCAGCAGGGCTCCTCTTTGAAAGTTAAGTATGGTTAAAAGAAAAAACAGAGGAGGCGAAAGAAGAGGAGAAAGGGGAGGAGGGCAGAAGAAGTTGTGCGTGGATGCCAAGTGAACAAGAGGTGGACTGTGGTGGACTTGTAGTGTTTCAATTTAGCTAAGCTGAAGATACATTTCCCAGAATTCCCATTCCTGCGTAGCTTTGGGTCAAAGGAGACATTTGCTAAGATTTGGGAGGTGGAATTGAAGTGGCCACAATATTCTTTTGTATCCTGGGAAGGGCAGGGCAGAGCAGCAGGGTATGAAGCGCTGTTACAGGTCACACATGTTGTCATTTATCTCCTGGCTCACCTTGTGGGTGTGGGGCTTGCAGCAACTACAAGGTACCAGATCTCCTTCTCTTTAATGACACTCCCATCATTAAGGTTGGGAGTTTGGAGGAGGTGAGAGACTGAGGCAGATTCCAGACCTCCCTTCCTTGTGGGTTTTATTCATAGTTTGTTATTGCAAGCTGCCAATCCGATGTAAACCCCCGTGGTATTAGGGGAGTCCCAGGATGCTTCTGGGACATCCTTTTTGAGAAATCAAATTTGGAAAATATCAAGTTAGTGTCTGAATAGAGCCTCTAACAAAATACAGAACACAAGAGACAAAACCATGGTGAATCAAGGAAACCTTCAAAGCCTGTATTTAAAAAAAAAAAAAAAAACAACCCTCAACCAGTTTTAAGGAGTTTCTGCTTTGCTCTATGAGGTTAGAGTGCACAAATCGCATAGCCCCCTAGCACAGGAGTCCTGCAAATGTTTCTCTGAAATCTGTGGCAAAAAAAAAAGTGGCCTGAGAGGTGGCTTTCCAGGCTGTGAAAATAGTTTCTTAATGACGCTAAAAAGTGCATCAGCTGTGTAGTTTGTCGCTGTCTGGCCATTTTGGAAAAAAGTTGAGCATTCACTAGAGAATGGCCCAGTGCGAAATCCCTTATTAATTAAGGAGCAAACAGATTATTATCTCAGGAGATTCTCCTGGCGTGCAGAGAAAAGCAGGAACAAGTACTCCTCAACAGAAACAACCAAAGACTAGAAAAGGAAAAAAAAAGAGGAACCCAACTCAACGAACCACCCACTATCTAAAGCCCCATACAAGAAGCGAGCTAGCTTAATTTACAGCAAACCTATTTTTTTTTTTTAACAGCAAACATGAGGGGAGAGCGCGAATGCAGTCCCTCACTAACACAAATTATGCAGTCGAGCTTCCCACATTTCGGGAAATAGCAAGGGTCAGCACATCCGGCGTGCAAGAAACAAGGCTGGCCCTGGGAAAATCACCAGCGTGATCACGGTAACTCCTCTACTAGGTAAGTATGAATTGCTCGCCAGCCGCCCCGCCACAGCTTCACACTCCTTACCCTTCACTCATATGGTCATCTCGCTATCCTCACTCCTGAGGCCTCATATCACCTCTACGCTCCTATTGCACAAAATTTCAAACCATAGACCTGGACTCCTTCCCACAGCACGGACAATCATAACTTGTTTAAGCAGCCAATGCCGATCCAGCAGTCACTGCGCTGCCAAGTCTACAAACAACAAGGTCCGACAGTGACGTCACGGAACGCTATCTTCCCTCCCGCCCACGCCCCACCCCCCTGCCCGCGTTTTTTCTCCTCCCATTCTTCCCAGCCACCCAATGACCGGGCCGGCAGCCCGAGGAAGAAGTGACGTCTACCTTGCCCCCCCACCCAGCTACCATCTCCCCCGGCCTAGCCAAGCCTTGTCCCTCCCCAACTGAGCGGGTTCTTCACCTCTCTCCTGCCCACGTTTCTTTGAATCTGTGAAACATTTTATAACATGGGAGAATCTGGAGGGCCTTATGCTTAGTGAATTTACTCAATCACAGAAGGACAAATATTGTATAAGACCACTATTATAAGAACGCAAGAAAAGGTATAAACACAGAATAAAAACGTTCTTTGATGGTTACAAGAGTGGGGAGGGATGAAGAGAGTTATTCACTAACTAGATAGCGGACAAGAATTATCTTAGGTGAAGGGAAGGGCAGCACATACTACAGGGCAAGTCAGCACAACTGGACTAAACCAAAGCTAAGAAGTTTCCTGAATACAACCAAACACTTCAAGGGACAGAGCAGCAGGGGTGGGGTTCCGGGGATCATGCTTTCAAGGGACATCTAGGTCAACTGGCATAGCAAAGTTTATTAAGAAAATGTTCTGCATCACAGTTGGGTGAGTGGCATCTGGGGTCTTAAAAGCTAGCAAGTGGCCATCTAAGATGCATCAATTGTCCCAACTCACCTGGAGTAAAGGAGAAAGAAGAATACCAAAGACACAAGGAAAGTATTAGCCCAAGAGACAGAAAGGGCCATATAAACCAGAAACTGCATCATCTTGAGAAGAACTAGATGGTGCCCAGCTACCACCAGTGACTGCCCTGACAGGGAACACAACAGAGAGTCCCTGATGGAGCAGGAGAAAAGTGGGGTGTGGAACTCAAATTCTAGTAAAAAGACCAGACTTAATGGTCTGACTGAGACTAGAGAAACCCCAGAAAGCATGGCCCCCGGAATCTCTGTCAACCCAGAACCAAAACAATTCCTAAGGCCAACTCTTCAGAGAAAGATTAGACTGGACTATGGGACATAAAATGATACTCGTGAAGCGTGTGCTTCTTAGCTCAGGTAGATACATGAGAATAAACGGGCAGCTCCTGTCTGGAGGTGAGACGAGAAGACAGAGAGGGTCAGGAGCTGGTTGAACAGACACGGGAAATCAGGGGTGGAAAGAAGGAGTGTGCTGTCACAGTATGGGGAGAGCAATTAGGGTCATGTTTCAATGTATGTATAAATTTTTGTATGATAGACTAACCTGAATTGTAAACTTTCACTTAAAGTACAATTAAAAAAAAAAAAGGCCATTAGCCCACAATCACAGCCTGTCCCCTGAGAGCTCGGGGAAGCCATAGTCTTTATAGATTTCTTAATGCATCATAATGCAGAATTTCCACAGGATTTTCTCGTCTTTCTTCTTCCCTTGGTTTTTCCAGTCTTCTCTGACCTAGAAGCTCACAGATGCTAATACAAAAAAACTTTTAAAAACTACCCTGCATTTTGAAATTCCAGAAACATTACCATTACCTTTTTGTGAAAAAGGGAATCTAGTTATGGTATTCAAAACACACATCAGCTGCAGAACTTTATTTTAATGAAATAGGAAGGCTATGACAAGAATATAAATGTTCTGACAATGATTGGTGGAAAATTTATTTCAGTGTTTATAATGATCTGAAAGAATCAAGTGAATATACACAGATAGATAGCTTTCCAGTCAATATATGATACAGGCCTAAAGACAGCAAACTCATTCTCACGTAAATGAAAGAAATCAGGAAATATAAACTTAAAAAAAAAAAAAAAACCTATTTGACACCAAAATGCAGCCAAGGACAAAATTAATCACAACAAAAATCTTTTTTTTCTTTTTTTTATTGTGCTTTAGATGAAGGTTTACAGAGCAAATTAGTTTCTCATTAAACAATTAATATGCATATTGCTTTGTGATGTTGGTTGCCCACCTGCAACATGCCAACACTCTCCCTTTCTTGACCTGGGGCTCCCCATTTCCATTCATCCAGCTTTCCTGCCCCCTCCTGCCTTCTTGTCCTTGCCCCTGGGCTGGTCTGCCCATTTAGTCTGGTGTACATGGTTGAGTTACGTGTATTATTTGTTTGTTTTATGGGCCTGTCTAATCTTTGGCTGAAGGATGAACCTCAGAGATGACTTCAGTACTGAGTTAAAAGCATGTCCAGGAGCTGTATTATCAGGTTTTTTCACAAAAATCTGAAGAATGAAAAAGCTGTGTGTGCTGGATATTCTGCATTTGTCCTCTAGATCCATTCTCACCATTATCCACCCCATTCTATGCCCCAGGAGGCTGACTCCTGCCCACTCGCTTCCTGGAAGACACAGCCAATTGGATGTATTAACTGGAGATGGGAGAGTGGCAAAAGTATGAGGTGGGAGTAATTATTCCCTGCAGGCTGGCAAGCTTGTGTTCTCTCCGTGAAATCCACAGTGATTGTCCTGGTGCACTCAACTACAGCTGCAGACTTAGCTACAACTATAACTTCTCCCAGCTTCCAGAAATAGTTCTCTCCACTTGCCCCACAAGGTATAGGGGCAATGACTCTTCACTGTTGCTCAAGCGGAGATGTCACACCCTCTTTTGGTAACTGCATTCCCCTCTTGGACAGAGTCCAGTAATTTTGAGCTGGAGGCCCCAGGAAACTCCTTCAATCCTCAGCAGGTAGGGCCTTCACAGAACCTCAGAGAATGCGCCACAGAATTATCTGGGCGCTAACTGCATCTCTAGTCAGCTCATCAGCAGAAGAATAAATACACCCTTCCTCCTTCAAAACTACCTCCAGTGAAAATTTCATAATCTTGTAGGCAGAACCATTTCCCTACAATAGTCAAAAGACAATGAAATGGTAAAATACTTGAAAAAGCCTTTCTAAGCCTGACAGAAAACTCAGAAGCCTTAAGGGGAAAGATTGATGCGTTTAACAACATAAAAACTTTAAGAATTTTATGGCTTTGAAAAACATCATAAACAAATTTGTCAAGCACACACGGCTGGTAAAGATATAACCAGTCACTTTCAGATTCAGTTTATTATTTACATAGACAACAAAAGGATGCGTAGCCAAAGGTGCCTGGGTTCTCATCCCATACACCAAAAAGAAACACAGAAACAAAAGGGGCCTGCTGACTGCAAGAAGAGTTGTGGGATACCTGTAGCTGAGGAACCAATTCTAGACCTCAGCTAAGCAGCTTTATAGTCTGCAGCTATAGCCTGAGGGTGAACAGACCGTAAAACCTCATATCTCATCAGAACCTGGAAGGTGATGAGAAACTGTCCAGTGACTGCCTCCCAGGGAAGATATGGAGGCAAGTGAGAGATGGTCTCATGGCAGATCTTCACAAACCTTATGGCGGTTCTTTACATGCCTCCAACTTCTCTTGTTCTGGGGGATCACTTTTTATGTCTAAGAATAAATCGTTTCCCACTGAAATGATCTGGAGAAGGATAGTGAAATTGAATGGTTGTACAACTTGAAGAATGTAATCAATGTCACTGAATTGTACATGTAGAAATTGTTGAGTTGGCATACGTTTTGTTAAGTATATTTTCACCACACACAATATACGTACATACATATATATGTGTGTATATATATTTTTCCCCTGGTGTGTTGAGACTATGTTGTTGTTAGGCACCGTCGAGTCGGTTCTGAGTCATAGTCTCCCGGGTCCTGTGCCATCTTCACAATCGTTTCTATGTTTGAGCCCATTGTTACAGCCACTGTGTCAATCAATCTCCTTGAGGGTCTTCCTCTTTTTCGCTGACCCTCTACTTTACTAAGCATGATGTCCTTCGCCAGGGACTGATCCCACCAGATGACATGTCCAAAGTACCTGAAACAAAGTCTCACCATCCTTGAACATTTTGCGGTACTTCTTCTAAGACTGCTTTGTTCATTCTTCTGGCAGTCCATGGTATATTCAATATTCTTCCCCAACATCATAATTCAAATGCGTCATTCTTCTTAGATCTTCCTTATTCAGAGTCCAGCTTTTGCATGCATATGAAGCGATTAAAAACACTATGGCTGGGGTCAGGCACACCTTAGTCCTCAAAGTGACATCTTGAAATACATACATATATCTTAAAAAATATGTATAGCTATATGTTGAAAATATACTTTTTTTTTTTTTTTTTTGATTTCCCACCGGCACAAAGAGAACGAATGTGTTTCCATCTGGTCACGTCCCAAGCCATCTTCTTCTTAGACTGAGTCCAGGAAGGACGAAGGGGGAGCCTGGAGCTCCGGGACCCGCCACTCGGAACGGCCCAAGTTCCTCCACCTTCTCCCCCCCCCCTCCCCCCCGGAGTTGCCCGGCTGGGAAGACCGCAGATCAGGGATGAGAGTCGCTCAACAAAGAAAAGGACTGGATTTTTTTTTTTTTTTTTTTTTTTTGCTGAATTTGGGGCAACTGGAAGCGATTCCTGAAATGATTTTCCAAAGTTTAAAACAACAGTGGCAATTTAGAAGCTCCTAATTCTGTTGGTGGCCGACTAGAGACGATTACATAAAAATGAAAGGAAGGATAAAAGTATTCGCCCAAAGGGGGTCTCGAACCCACGATGCTGAGATTAAGAGTCTCCTGCTCTACCGACCGAGCTAGCCAGGCACGAAAAGGTACCTCTTTCCTACATTATTATTTTCTTTTGAGAGCTAGTGTTAATGATCTAATTATACACTTACTGTGAAAGTAATTTCTGGGTC